CCTGCTGTTTTGGTCTGAGGATTCTGGTTGAGCTCTGTCCTCCAAGCACAACCTATTTCCTCCCAAGGAAAGAAAAAACAAAAAAACACACAACTATCACCTCGAAGACTCCACAGAGATTAGCAATTTATCTGCAACAATGCAGAAGGTATAAAAGATTCTTTAATGAACATATAGCAAGCTCAGAAGTCAGAACCAGGGCTTAAAGTGACATTAAACCCTCAGGTTTTTTAACATAAACCAATACTGTAATGTGTGCCTTACTGTAATCCATGGTAGTTTCCCTTCTTTGCTGCTCTTCCTTTTAAATCCTCATGTCTTCTCGTGCTTGGGGAGAACTTCCATTTGCAGCTGAGTGCCTCTTCCTGTAGTGCTGGCTCAGGTTGTGAACGCAGACACCATGTATCCATTCCAGAGACAAGGCAGTCTGCTGCAAAACAGAAGTTCTGCCCAGCATGAGAGGAGATACAGATTTAAAAAGGAAGAGCAGCGAAGGGAAACAACCATTGGTTACAGTAAGGCACACATTACAGTATTTGTTTATGTTAAAACATCTGAGGGTTTAATGTCACTTTAAAGGATTCATTTGAATTTAGAAATAGTGAGGCTGCCATTGCTGACCTAATTCTAAAACGAAGTTGCGTGGTAGCTATCCTGATCCTCCAACTAAAATACATACTAAACCATTCATCTGGAAAAAGCATTATAAAAAAAAAAAAAAAAAAGTACAAATTTGCATGCTTGGTGAAGAGAAGTGGCGCAAAATTATTGAAGCCACTGGATTAGTATGACAACCAAGCAATTAGTATGGTCAGTAATGTCAAGCACTGTGTTTCTCTATAGAACAGTTTCCTGTAACCAGTTGAGTACCACCCTGTATATACCCCTTCATTACCGGGCCATTTTTAAATTTTCAGTGTTGAGTTTGACTAACAATTATTCCATCATGAAACACTATTCAAATTTTATATATTTTTTTTTTTGAGGTAGAGCTTTTTTGGCGCTATTAAAATAACCACCGGGATATTTATTGTTTAACCTAAGAAAGGAAAAACTATAAAAAAAATAAATAAAAACCAGAACACATCTTTAACCTCAATTTCTCTTTAACGCAATGCCGGGACAGTATGAACATCCCCCAAATTATACCTTTTTTGGAACGTAGACACCCTAAGTTAATTTCTTGGCGCAATTTTTGGAAATTAAGAAACATGGTGGTATTGAGGAGCGTTAAAACAGAGCTTGATAATGGTGAACTAGATACAGCACGTAAGGTTATACACAGAAGGGTCAGGAGGATAAGCCGTTAATGTACAGGTCACATACAGTGACAGGATTAGGGCTGCAACAACTAATCGACATAATCGATTATAATCGATTATTGAAAAAGTTGTCAACTTTTTCAATAAATCGATTAATCGGCTTCCGATCAGTTGGCCCTGTTCGCGGCTCCACACACGCTCTTCACGCCGCACCTCCTCCCCGCCTCACACTCACCGCCCACCCACATCCACGATTGGCACAGGGACGCGGGGGAGATGTAGTAAGGAGGAGCAGATGTGGGGGGATGACAGCC